TTTGTATCCCATTTTTCAACTGAATCAAGCTGTTTTATTTTAACATATGTCAGAAATGAATGAAAAAATGAATACAATGAATTTCCCTCTGGGATAAATAAAGTATTTTTCATTTAATTCATTTCATTTCATTTCAAAAGCCAAGTTCCTTCCCAAAAGAACACAAGACAAAAGAAACCATTTTGATCCTATCATACATTTGTCACAATGATCATGAGAAAAATTTTACCACTAAAGTCTTGCTCACAGAAGTTCATCAGGTTACCATTAAGTATTTGTCAAAACGGAAATATTTCCCGTTACAACAATCCTGCCATCAGTTATGACAATTCTGTGAAATTCTCGTTTTTATTTTGCTGACCAAGCATTTCATACTAAAATATATAGTTGGGTAATGCAGGCTTTGTATGAGGGGGGATAATTGTGAGATAAAATTACATATGGTAAACGTACTGCACTTATATAGCTCTTTCTACCTAAGCGGCACTCAAAGCGCTTTGCAATGTGTTTCTCATTCACCCATTCACACACCAATGGCTACAGAGCTGCCATGCATGGTGCTGCCTGCCATTGGGGGCAACTTCGGGTTCAGTATCTTGCCCAAGGACACTTCAGCTGTGGAGGGGATCAACCAACCTTACAATCAGAGGCCAACCGCTCTACCGCCTGAGCCACAGCCGCCCATATGGTCCAGAAGATATCATCAGTACACTTCTGCATCAACTTTTTGTTCATGTGTGCGGCTTAATTTTTTTTTCACATTTCAACTCACCTATAATATTGAGGCTCTTTGATTTACATGTCCAGTATTGCAGACACTAGATCAATGGTATGATGAGAAACAGCAGTGAAATTTTCAGGTTTTTATGTTATCAATTCCTAAGATATTGTCATCCAAACACAACCTCAAATTTCAATGCGCAACAAAACGTGCTGAAAGTGGGTCGACGGGCAATTTAAGAAAAAAAATCTGCAAGTCAAAAATTTCACAGATACCATTTCAAGTATCCATAGTTTTTTCTATAAATATAAATTTTCTGATTTGAAATGGATTGACCTCATATTAAACCTGGACTCGAGTTCACAAAATTTGTCTTGTCTGTGTTTTTTTCTGTTATGACAACCAGTGTGTAAACCAGTACGCTGCTCACTCCACAACTGTAAGCAACCCCTGCCTTAGAATTTGATAAAAATGAATAAATCTACTTGATACACAGGTATTTCATCCGTGAGTCATCATTTGTTTTAGTGCACATGAAGACATGGAGCATATTGTCGGAAATACTAACATAGGAAGGTTTCTGTTTGTTAATGTCTGGTATTCATTCAGCATTACTCAGATATACTTTAATTGTCATGGTTTCTATTTTGTTATTGTCAGATACTGAATACTTGTGTCCATTTTAGAAAACATCGGTGGGCTGTGAAAACAACGTGATGGAAATACGCCTGAGTTATAACACAGATAAGGTTTATACTAGATTAGAATAAATCAGACTGGTGTGAACATATGTAAAGGCTTCCATAAGCTATTGTCAGCAGATGAGACAGAAGACCTTGGCATTCTGAGGCCTAGTGTGCAGTCATGTTGACCTACAGGGATGATGGTTTAAGACTTACGATGGGGAAATTATGATTTCAAACTCACCATTCCTCACAATCCTGATTGCAGAGCTGAATCTGATAAATGTTGCCATTCTTCAGAGACACCTTCCCTTTTGCATCCTCTTCAAATGGGATGAATGTCACTTGTTGTCTGGCATAGTCTACAGAAGGCAAAATAAAAGGCATTAGAAGTGAATACTGCCACAGCCTGTCATTCAAGTCGAGCTCTTACCTTTCAGTATAACTTCTCTCTGCAGGTTTGTCCCATAACAGTTAACTTTAGGAATAAATGTTCTGACACTGGAGGACCACGGTTTGTCATTTCCGTGTGTCTGTGTAGGTGAAACCTCGCCGGTCAGGAAACACAACACATCTGGAAAACGTTCAGGATCATCCAGCATCAGCCGCAGGTCCTCGCTGTCAACAGCCCGGCTCTCTGTCTCTTTAACTCCGCAAAGACGCTTATTTATGACATGAGGTTTCTTAATCCACACGTCTACCGCTGACCAAAAGCCTTCAGGGAGAGTCTTACATTCCCTCGTAAACTTTATATCGACGAGTTTTGGCATAACTAAGCATCAGAGACGACTACGAGCCATGTGTTTACGATGACGGAATAACTTCCGGGAGCTTTTATTTTGTAGGTTGAACGAAATTTTTAGAAAACAAGCACTTTATGATTAAAAAAATAAAAACTTGCTTCTAAAATCGGTTCAAATGCTTTTCCGAATCACGCCTGAGCATATAAAACAAGCTGTCTGGCTTCATTTTTAGTTTAGTGTATTGAATATAGGAAATTCGGTATTGTCGCTGTATGATGACGTATTCACAGGCGACAAAATGGATATCTGTGACAGTAGAGGGTGCTGTTTACCTTCGTCTGGATTGGCTCAGCAGCCAGTTTACTGACTCAAGTGATCATTTATTTTACAAAAAATAATAACAATCTGCAAAATATGTATTGTTTACTGGCTGCCTGTTGTCATATTTATGTTAGTTCCATTAATGATTAAAGGTGTCATGTTCTAGATGTGGTTGTGGGAGGCATCCCATCACATATTCTGCCTTGACAGAACCAGACAATCTCCATACGCAAACAGGAAAAAACACAAAAGCATTTCTGACTTTCGGAAGCAGATCAGACTTTTACGGTAAAATAAAAAAAATATTACAATAATTGTGATGTAGCTGAGGGCTGAACCTAAGGACGGCTGTGAGAGTGTAAGGTGGAACTTGAAAGTCCCACGCCACAAGTATGAGAGTTGGTAACTAGATAGGTAGCTAAAGAGAACTTGTGTTCACCAATCAGAGCTTATAGATGGGGCAGTGGCTATCTCATATCCTGACCCATCTGCAGCTACAGCAAGAGAAGATGAATTTTCTTCCACCTTGTCTGGCCTCATTGGTTATTTATTCCTATTTTAGTAAAGAAAAAATAAGATCTGAAGCTCTTCTTAAAACTTTTAAACGTTCAGTCTTGGAACCCCAGGCTGCTCTGTCTTATTGTGAAATGTTTTGACGCTGTATCTTCCTTTTTCCTTTTATGTCATTTGCACTTTGGATGGCATGCACACTTTATAGCCCGAATTACATGCAATTTTCTTCTTGCAAATATTTAACACCAAGTAAAACGTGACTGCAATTCACTACATATCAGCACACGTGAGGCTCGTGAATACAGGATGGGAAGTCTTGCATATCGGAACTGTGAAAATATTTAAAGTGATTATCAAGTCACTTTGTTCTTCTTTCATTTTTCTAATATCCTCGGCCTGTTTTTTAAGATAATGGCACACTTCCAGAGGAAACTCAGCCCATCCCTGAGGTCCCTCGGGGGGTTTATATCTGTCTCATTTATGTGTGCGACCATTGCACTCTGCTTACTGTGAATTTTCTGCTCAGTTCATACAGATAATCCTACATTTTCCTCCTCAGCTCCAGCCTTTCACACATGAAACACACACAGGGAGTTTTGTTAAGTGACACTGAGGAACTTTGTGGGATTTAAGAAAGCAGCAGCGTAAACAATCAACCCACGCACTCCTCCTTGGCCAATAATTACCCATCACCTCCTGAAAATGACAGGTTGCTGCATGTGGATGATTTGCGTGAGATGTGAATTATTTTGACACTTCAATGAATTGACTTGTCATCGTTTGTCTTTGTCAGTAAGGCCACAGTTCATGACATAAAAACCAAAACCTATTCCTGCACTCTCAGTCACTGCACAACCATTTGCCTCTGCCTCTAGTTCGGTTAGAAGTACATGAAAGACATGAAAAAGGATCTCCAAGACCACTCCTGTTTGCAGGGTGCTTTGAACAGCTGCTCTGCTGAAATCCATTGTGTGTGTTGAGTAATTCAGGCAGTCAGGCAGGCAGGCAGGCAGGGAGGAGTGAATAAGAGAGATACTGTACCAGGAAGTGCAAAGGTCAGGCAGCTATTCTGTGTCGCCTGTTTTGCATTCAGATCAACAGCCACTTGCTCGACTCAAAGAATCCTGTCAAACTTGCTTGGCAGCGGCAGGTATGGAGGAGTGAAAGGCAGAGACACAAAAACATGTGTCTTTATTTGACTCATGGCTCATGGCAAGTTTCGTCTGAGTCCAAGCGTAATTGAATATGACGAGTCGAGAGGATTATTAGCAGTATTTGTAGTAAGAATTTCCCATCCAGTCATGAACACTTGACATAATTATCACACAAGTCACGTGGAAGTTAAAAACACAGTAAGGTCCTCTGATCAATGTTTATATAATTTATTATTTATCATATAAATAGTCAGAGGATGATTAAGTTTTTGCTGTAATTTGTTTTTAGCTCTGAGTAATGCGATCTAATAAAACAAACATGACCTACATGAGGATTGTGTTACATTTTGCTGAAAGCATTTTGAAAATACTGAAATAATTAAAAATAAAAATATGAAATAAACCTTCTGATCATTTTCCACTATCCACTGATTGGTCAAAAATATTAATTCAGTAGCCTCATCACCAACAAAACAAACAAACAATAGTAATTTAACAGCATCAACAACTGCATCTGAAAATATAGTTTATTGGTTTTATTCAAAATCTCTTTTTAAACAGTTGCATATAGCCTAAGAAGTGTAAACACAGTCATGTTGGAAGTTATTGCTGGCTGGTGAGTAAATAACATTTAACTCACAGATAATGAACTGGTTTTAGCCAGCGGTTCTAAAAGGAAGATTATGTACAAGGTATGTAAGATATGAGGCCTAAAAGGACTGTAACAGGCTACACTTAGCTGTTTTAGTCCCCCAAGCTTACACTAGCTAGAATTGTTTTAACTATCTGCCTGATACCTACTACATCTGTATTAGTTAGCTAACATTTTGGCTAATGCATAATAAGTAGGTTTTAGCCCAGTACACTTACCTAGAACTGTTTTATCCTCTTAGGTAAAGGTCAGCGTGAACTATTGTAGCTATGATTTTAGCAAGCACACAAGAAATTGGTTTTAAGCAGGTACACTGAGCAAAAACAGTTTTAGCTCACTAGCTGGCATTAGCTTGAGCTGTTTAGCTATCTGGCTAACACCGGCTATTACCATAATGTTCAGAGCCTAACCTTTAAACTAACACATAATTAACTGGTTTTACCTAGGTACATGAGCTAAACAGTTATAGCCCCGTAGTTAACATTATCTAGAACTTTTGCAGCTACCTAACATTTTAGCTATAAGATATAAACAAACAGGTGAGCCACTTACAGTAAGTTTAAACAGTTTCCGCTGCCTCGCTAACATTTGCTACTGTGTGTAGCTATCTGGCTAACATGGACTACAACTGTATTAGCTTTTAACGCTTTAACACAAAATAAACAGATTTTAGCTCGGTGCAGTTAGCTAAAATGGGTTTTTACTAAGATTAGTCATAGCTTTTATTTCACAACTCCCTTTAATATAATGAATGTTTTAAGTTTGTGTGTAAAATGATAATATTAGTTTAATTTCAGTGAACCCACACGTCCAGACAGCTACAGCTAAGGAGGAACAAGAAGTGTTGTTTTGATCTGGTGATTTATGACACTCAGCTAATCGCTCTGCTGCTATTGTCTGGAGATTTCCCCCCTGTGCTGTGCTGAAAGCTCAGGTGAGAGAAGTCAGGAAGAGGTGTGGTTAGTTGACAAACCTGAAAGAGGCGGAGAGAGCAGCGGAAAACACACAGGTAGAAGTCAAATACGTTAGGACCTCTCGCCGGAACACTGCAACAACAAAAAAAGAAGAACGATACAACTTTGCCGAAAGAATCCGTGCATGGTGATTTATTAGGAAGGATTTCCGACAGACACGAGAAGTGATTTGTGGTAAAAAGCCTCCGTTAACGTGTCTCTGGCTTCCAATGCCGACATGGATCACTTGTCTCGGGGCGTGTGTGGTTGAATAATATCAGCTCGTGGGAGACTGAAGCATCTTGATTAACGTAAGTATCCGATTAATCATCAATCTGTAGATAATGCCAGAGAATTTAATGATGCGATCGTGGATGTTGTAGTTGCATTTATTCTATATAGTTTTAAGTTCCTGTTTGTATAGAAAACACATGATCAGGGCATCAGTGTAGAAAAAGATACTCCTCACACAGCAGGCCATCAGTGATGACATTAAATGAAATTATTTTTGTGCTTTCATTTTCATATTTCTGTTAATCATTACAATCTGTTTACTGCTATAGTATTGCTACTTTTCCTCCAGTAAGTAATCTGATTACTTCTTTGACTGTTTACTGCACATGTGCATTTCTAACAAGCACACCCATGACCAACCTTTGGCAACAGATAAGAGTATTTTTTTATTATTACAGTGGAAGCTGGGGTTATACACCTTCTTTGGAATCTTTTAAAAAGCTGTTCCGTCACTGATTAATGGCCTGGCCTGCCTCGCTGGGTGTTGATCTTGGTTTGTTCTTGGGCTCAGTCAAAGGAAGCAGGCATCAGCAGTGTAAACACATGCACTTGTGCTGGATTAACAATGCGTTTGAAGTTAGAAGATAGTAGCGTTTGTGATAAACGTGACTGTGAAGTAAATAAGTGATCACGCATGCCATTAGACTGGGAGGATTTTTCAGTAGTTGGGCGGGTTAAAGATTCATCACTCTGTACATAAAGAGACTGATCACAGAGCTCTCTTTGTTTACTTTTATTTTTGTGTGACTTTCTGCTGCTGCATTTGACCTTCGAATTTGCTTCACTCACTTAGGTGCAAATTTAAGTGGGAGTTGTCCCTTGAAATTAACGCAAGCCCAGGCTTGTGCCCTCTTAGTTTTTGATGAGGAGCCTGATCGCTGCAGACAGACTAACCCTGCTACTTGTTTAGATTTTCCCAGGGTAGCTGACAGGGGAATGCTGAAGGTCTTCCCAGACTCGTATCTTGCTTTGCTCAGTGCGCTGATAAGCAGCTAATTTATGGCCGTACAGACCTTTAGCAACATTAAGAGCAGGAAGCGGAGAGTGTGTCCATCAAAAAAGAATTCGCTGAGTTGTACCTTTCCATTTTGTAGCATGAGGGAATTCTGCACCACACTTATTGTTTTACTAATGACTCATGTTTTACAAAATCTTCCATCTCAGATCTTATTCAAAGATGTGCTACTGTTCAACACATTGTATCACTTCAGCAGTTACATAAATACTGTGTGAACAGGATCCGGTTGGACGGGTGGCCCAGAGCTAATGTTTCCAGCTCTTAGTGCTCCACGAGGCCCTGCAGGGTCGTCATCTCCGAGGTTCAAACATGAGTCATTTTAAGTGGAACTAAACTCACATGTCCGTCCTTCTGAGGATCTATCATGTGTCTGTGTTTCCTGTAACCCTCGTTCACCTGCTCCTCTTCTGTCATCTTTCACAATTTTCCGTGTCTGATTCGCAATTACTTTTCGGCGTGACATTCCAACTCATGCACGACAGCTTGTTAAAAGTTGGCGCTCGGCTACAAGTTGAACAACGCCCCTCTGGCATCACACACTTTCTGTTGAGTCTCCATGGTAACCTAACAAAGCTCGAGTGGGCGCAAAGTTACAGTTAAACAGGCTTTTAATGTTGCTATCTATGCATCCTCAAACTGGGCACATGATCCAGAACTCAGTGTCTGATGTTTGAATGAGGAGATTTGCAAAACCAGCACAAAAAGTCCCTCCACTGTCTTCTAAGCTCACGTCTTTAACCTTCCAGGCAGGTCAGCCGGGTCATGCTGATGGACCAGGAAACTCAGTGGCTCCACCAACTCCTGGCTGAAGTCCAGCTGGAGAAGTTCTACTTGCGTGTCAGAGATGGCCTCAACATCACCCGCATCCAGCACTTCGCCTATGTCAAGGAGTCTGACCTCGAGCAGATAGGAATCAGCAAACCTGGTGAGTCTGATCCTTTCCTCTGATCATTCAGGCTGGATGCACGCAGTCTTTCTCACACAGAGGAGATTTCTGCTTTGGGTCAGTCGAGGAGGTTCGATTGATCATAAGACAGAAAAGGGTTTAAACAGATCCTGGTGCAAAGACAGTATCTAAAAGGCCCCTAAGTTCTATATCATTATTAGAATGGCATGAACTAATGTTTGACTTCATCTTTCTTTTAACCAAATCTTAAACCACATGTAAACAGATGCAGTTTGCTCAGTGTAAAAACTAAAGTGTTCATTTTCAGGCATTCTTGTGTGCATCAGATGATTCAATTGCCTCAGAGGAGTCACCAGCAATCAATCGTAATCGTTCACTAGATGTTAAGAGGCCAGAATTTGATTCACACAGCTTTCTAGGTCACCTAAATTGATCATTCAAGTTGCTGTGTGTAATTTTGACCAAGCACATTTAGTCATATTGGAGGGAGCATAGGCGCAGACTGGAGCCACACCTCTGCCCCAGGGCAGCTGTGGCTACAATCGTAGCTACCACCACCAGGATGAATGTGTGTGAATGAATAATTGACAGTGTAAAGCCACTTTGAGTGCCTTGAAAAGCACTATATAAATCTGATACATTTTTGTTATTATTATATTTCCAGAAAACCTCTAATAAATCTATGAAAGAACTTGTGACAAAAACGCATGTGTTTCAGTGATTCCTTCATTGGTATACACGGTCTTTACAAGTGTATGGAAACATTTTCTTCGTAACTTTATGGTCTCAATCGCTGGTTTTAGATCTCCTTCAGTGCAACATGGTCTTCATTTAGTGAGGCTTTAAAACACTAGTTCACGAACCAGTGGGTGACACTGTAATTGTCTCTCCAGGACTTCAAAAAAGAGAATAAAGTGCAGTAGAATATGAAATTGAGCAGTGACTAATGATAATTTTTTATCATCATTACTCTGTTAATTATTTTTATGAATGTTATTTATATTTTTAAACTTGTTGCTTCATTCATTTAGTGTGTAATATACCAGATTGTAGAGCAAAATTCTGCAAGAAGCCAACATAACTTTTAAGAGCTTTTAGAGTTTCCCAAGCAAAAGTCCAAAATTGAAAGATACTGATTTTTTTTTTTTCTTCTTCTTCTTCTTCTTGCAGCACAAAGAAGATTATGGGATGCTCTAAAACGCCACAAGACAAACTCACGATCGCGGCCATGGATGCACAAGGTCTCTCAAGCGTTTAACTGCATTTTACAGTTTTGTCATAGACTTTTTTTTATTGTGTAAGAGCTACAGGATGTCAAGCCTGGTAGTAAGTTGTTCATTATTTTATTGATGCACACAGGGGTTCAACAGGCGAGGAGATGGAGGGGAGCAGTATAGTGGAAATGGCCCAGCTCAGGGCCAGGAGGGCGGCAGCCGGGCTCTTCCGAGTTTAATTCAAGACAGTGAGCTGGTTCTGGGGGAGAAATTGGGTTCTGGGTCCTTTGGAGTGGTGAAGAAGGGAGAGTGGCACACGCCAACTGGGCAAGTGGTAAGAGACAAATCTAGAGACCAGACAAACTGGGAATTTTCTGATGCTGTATGTCATGTGATGCTTCACTAAAATATAAACAGTATAACACATTTCTTTAGTTTTTAACACACAATAAAATCTAACTTTTAAAAAATGCTGTTGTAGGTGTATTTGAAGGGCCAGTAGGTTTCGAAAGTTGCCTGATACAGTATTCCCAGTATCGCAGTTCTGGTTTTGATCATATTCAGGATATAGACTATGTATGGCCATAACAGTATCCAGGTTTCTGATCATCTGTGTGCAGTTATTTTCTTACCATCATAGCAAAACAAAGACCTGGATCAGGTGTTTACATGCCCAGCATCCTGGTTTCTGTCAGAGCACTCCAGATAGCATTTCTATCTAAACTAAGAATAAGGTGTTAAGGTGACACACACCCCTCTGCCACCTGCCATGGCTATCACACATCTCCCCCCCGATAAAAGACAGCCCAGAAACTACTGTACTTCTTCAGGAAAGCTAAATTCCCTTAGCAAATCCTTTTTACAGAGTAAAGGGAAGCATCCTAACTGGAAACATCATGAACTGGTATGAGATGGTGCAGCCTGCAGTTGGTGATTAAAATTTCTCTGAACATCATTAGTACAAATCTACCAATTAGTGATGCCACAGCCTGTTTGTCCTGCTGCTGTCTGGTAGACCTTGAAGCAGGTTATGAGATTATCAGGAGTGAACAATTAGTTGAAATATTATTGAAGTCACAATATGGCCAAGTACTGATATCCAAATCACGGGAACTGACGATTTGGGTCATGCAGGAGGCAGCTATAAACCTACATAGGAACTGCATCTGTAATTTTGTTATCCAATCTTGTGTTGCGTAGTGATACTTAAACTGAATCTTGCATTTATTTACTTGTTCCAATTTGTACTTTTTACACGTGCAAGCAATATCCAGGGTAGTCAAAAAAATCACCATAACGTGACACATGTTAACATGCCCACCGGTAATTACCATCTGAAGTGGCCGTTCAGTGTTGCTAAATGTTGTATTTTATGCTTTTCTAGCTCATGCCTTGTGGAGTGATGGTGTATGAGCCTGACGCAGACTGAGTTTTGCATTTATCTTGACTGTTTTCAGCTGTCTGTTGCCGTAAAATCACTGAGGAGCAGTATGTCGAGGCAGACGGACACTCTGAACGACTTCCTCCAGGAAGTGACCACCATGCAGTCCTTAGACCACCCCAACATTATACGGCTCTATGGTGTGGTGCTCACACAGCCGCTGAAGATGGTAAGATGATAAGCATGGATAATTAAGATTATCTATTGCAATTAATATGTGTTTAGGAGCTGAAATACACACTGATCTGTTTCCCCCTTCCTCTAGGTAACAGAGCTGGCCCCATTGGGATCACTATACGACACTCTGCGTGCACGTCAGTTTAAGTACCCTCTGGTCCGGCTCTGGCTCTTCGCTACTCAGATTGCGGCAGGTATGGACTACCTGGAGACCAGGAGATTCGTCCACAGGGACCTGGCTGCAAGAAATGTGCTGCTGGCGTTCAAGGACATGGTGAAGATCGGGGACTTTGGCTTAATGCGAGGCCTGAGCCAGGAGGCAGACCACTATGTCATGTCAGCACACAGAAGGATCCCGTTTGCATGGTAAGGGCTGTTAACGAAAATGGGAAAATCTGATTAGGAAATGATTGCTAGTTGTATTAATAACACTTAGAATTTTCACCAGTTAACTCTTTCCTTATGGTTTGTTTACCTGCTTTTCCTTCAGGTGTGCTCCAGAGAGTCTTCGTATTGGCTCCTTCTCCCATTCTTCAGATGTCTGGATGTTTGGTGTTACTTTATGGGAGATGTTTACCTACTGCGAGGAGCCCTGGTTTGGTCTGTCAGGCCGACAGGTACGGGCTTGTCCCGCTATGATTTTGCTGTTTGTATTCATGTTAGTCAGAGTATTTGTCTTTATTATTGGAATGTATGTCCCCACCCTTATGCCGTTTTTTTTTTTCTTGTGACTCCCACTGACATTTATTCTGTTTAGATTTTGTGGCGAGTGGAGCGGGAGGGCGAGCGCCTGGACAAACCACCAGATTGCCCTCAGGAGTTATACACCATCATGAGGAAGTGTTGGGCCTGCAATCCTGCTGACAGACCCAATTTCAACCAACTGGGCACGATGGTGGCAGAGGTATGACCAAACACAGACCAGAGATCTGTTGATCTGGCCTCATTAGGTGTGAAAGCATAGACAGAAACAAGCAATTTTTCTGCATATCTTTGTCTTTATTTCTCTTACTTCCTCTGTAGGTTAAACCAATGGAAGTGCAAGCAACAAGAGACTTTACAGAACCCAGAAAACTCACACTCGCGGCCAATGACCTGGTGACCGTCATAGACCATGGGTGGGTGAGGGAGAGAGCCGACACAATCGGCCTTTGTTGAGCTTCAATCAGCCCACTCTCAGATTCCAGATCTCAGCGAGCCCTTGAATGCGTATTGCTTTCTTGTGCAGGCCTAGCAGCTTTTGATACTATCTGCACAGTAATGGTTTTATTTTACGTAACAGATCTGTGAACATGTCGATATTTATCATGTCAGTATTTGCAGTTTTCATTTTATATAGTCGTATAAATCAAACAAAAAGTTCTGCATTTGGTTTAGCAAATCGAGCTGATCCAATCTGGTGTTGTTTGCTCTTTACAGATGTAAATGTACAGAAATGAAACACTTTTAAAACCGCAATAAAAGCAAAACTAATGTAACAGATTATTCCTCCTAAAGACAAAGACTTTAACTGATAAACAATAAAGTGTACCCTTGTTGAGGTTTCATTGCAACATCCTTACTTGCTCTGCTGTTTGTTGCTTTTGGAGGCTAATGTATTGTTGTGACAAGTGTTAAAGACTTACTGGCTTCTGTTTAGCAGGACTCCTATTTTGGCTTCTCACCAAATATTTTCTGTCTCTCTGCGCAGTCTGGAGCTGAGCGAGTGGCGAGGTCAGAACCAGAGGACGCTGACCGTCGGCTGGTTTCCTGCAAGCCTCATCGCGCCAATACAGACCCCTGTTTCTGTTACTGTCAACACCACTTCCAGCAACCAAGGCCCCAACCTCGCCACCAGCTCTACCCACATCTCGGCTCCGATAAAGGGCAGCATGCACCACACGGGGCATGGAGACATCAACCCTGAACGCTCCTGGGGAACGCCTGAGAGCCTGGACAAGTCAGTGATCATCCTCATTCACTCCTTCCTGCCTTACTTACACTATTTGGTATATTAGGTGTCTTTGCTTCTATAATTAAGTTCACCTCTAGATGCTGTTTTAACAAAATGTATGTTTCACAGTGGCATCCTTTGCTCCTTTTCCCCTAATTTGTTGATCATACAGGATACAACAATGTACTGTACCAAGTCCAGCATAGCACTGAACTTTCACTTCCTGTCAGTCAGTGTATTTTCTGAGCTGAAACTGATGGATAATGTGTTTTTGTTGGGACGTCTGCAGGAGCGGCAACTGGAAGTCGGGCCCTGTCAGGGAGAAGGAGGGATCCAATCTGCAGAAAATGGCAGGTAGGAACTATACATATAATCAGCTGTAGAGTGTAGTGAGTAAAGCTACAAGACATGGTTGAATTTATGTAAATATGTGTATAATCATTATATAAATAAATACACATACAGTGCCTATAGAAAGTTCTCACCTCTCTTGGATGTTTTCCCTTGAATTATGGTGAATATAAATTGGCTTTTTTGACAAGAACTAACAAAAAAAGACTTTCATGTCAAAGAGAAAACAGATATCTACAAAGCCATGTTAACCATTTTAAAATATAAACCTTAAATAAGTATTATATAAAAAAAAAATAAGTAATCAGCCCTGTAAAGTCAGTTTTTTATAGATGCACTTGAATACAGCATTGAACCTGTGTGGATAGGTCCCGATCAGACTTGCACATCTAACACTGCAATTTTGCCCCATTCTCCTTTCCAAAACTACTCAAGCTCTGTCAGGTTGCACAGGGGACGTGAGTGAAAAGCCCTTTCCAAATCTAGACAGAAACTGTCAGTTGGATTGAGCACAGGGCTCTAACTCGGCCTCGCCTGATCATTTTAAACCATTTCTGTATAGTTTTGGCTGTATGCTTTGGGTCTTTGTCTTGCTGGAATACAAACCTTCTCCCAAGTCAAGGTTCTCCATGATTCCCCTATACTTTTTCACATTCATTTTACCCTCTACTTTTACAAGCCTTCCACGGTCTGCTGCTAATAAACATCCCCACATCATGATGCTGCCACCACCATGCATCATAGTGGGGATGGTGTGTTTCTGATGATGTGCAGTATTTGGTGTGAACATAGCATGTAGTCTGAGGGCCAGAAAACTAAATTTTGGTCTCCTCAAACCAAAGAATGACTCAGTTGAGACTGAAAGCTTTTTTCAACAATGGCTCTGTTTTTGCTACTGCCTCATAAAACTTTTCTTTCAAGCATTTAATCATTTGACATTACTTTGTAAAAATTATTTTTCATCTTGACTAAGAGTCGTTTTTCTAAATTATCTTCAAAAAAGCTGGATTAAATTGACCATAATTCAATGTTGAAACGCAATAAAAGGAGATAACTACTAGTCATTAATACTGGAATATTTATTTGTGTCAGCATCTTCCCGCTGTGGTAACGGGCTCTTTAGCCAAATTTTAAAAATTGCGATTTTTTTTTTTTTTTGTCGCTGCTGTTTGCTTTAATTTCTGCTTACACTGTCTTCTTTGCTCCGGATTTCTCATGCAGTACAGTTTCACAGATTACCATGTGTAGTGTCTGCTAAAGACTGTACATTTATTCATGCATTGTGAATGAAAGATGTTGCTTTTTGTTGTGTTGCTTATATTTCTATGAAGCATCTAATCCATCGAGGTCGTAACTTATTCACTTACACACGTTTAACTCTTCTGCCCTGTGTTGGTTTAATCAGGAAGCTTCATAGGGGCTGAATTCTAAACACCAGAATAATTCTCTTGTCACACCTATGCAATATTAAACCATACATACTGCATCATCTGTATGTGTGTATGTTTGTTCTCTAGTAAGAAATCAGCCGTGTTCGGCTTGATTTCTGCTGACAAACATAATATTGAACTGCATCAAAAAGGTGTCTTCCTGCTTCCTCAGGTATGTCTCGGAGCCTGGAATCGGTCATAAGCGGACATCGGCCCCGGGCTCATACAGTAGGGCAGGTCATGGTGGATCATCAGGGCAGACTCATGCCTCCTGCATTGGCAGCTCGAAGTGTGGTGATGCAGCAGGACCTTCGTCGGTTCAGCGAGGCCAGTATCATCCCCCCTCCTCGTCCTCCACCTCCCAACCTGAAACGCTTCAACATGAAATCCCAGAGGAGACCTGCGGGTCAACCACCCACAGGGACGCCATGGCCTCCGCAGATGGTGCCGTCACCTCTGGTGCAGCCGCAACCTCAAGCGTTGCCTCAGCAGGGCATCGGAGGCTCCAACCTGGTCAGAACCGCCCACATGGCACGCTCTACCCCACAGCTGGACGAGTTTACAGACGGCAGAGAGAGGGATCGAGAACGAGTAAGAGAGCGGGAGAAATCGCCTCATGTGCGGAACAGTAGAGACAATCTCGTTCCACAGGTAAGAGCTTCTTCGTGTGCAAGATGCCTTTTTTTTGCCTGAAGCTTTGCTGAGTGGATAAAAACAGAAGTGTAACAAGTGTGTTGCTCTGTTCAGATCATGGATGCAGTACATGGAGTGACCATAGAAGAGGTTCTTAATGCACTTCAGCGTAATGACGGGAACCCAGTGCTAGCGGAGCAACAACTCAAGGTCAGAGGATGAAATGAGACAATTATCTGTCAACACATAGGCAATTCAAAGTAATCTGTGTGTGGATATGAAAAGGTGTTCAGACATGATGGGAAAGAAACACAAGGTCATTTAAGAAGACTAAACCTTCAAGTTCAACAAGCTTGAGTGATGTATTAAACAGAACACTGAACTGATGCTAAAATATACAGTTTAGTTAGTTAAGTTATGAACAGATTTAACTTGTTGCAAAGTGAAGCTTAAAGCTCCAATCTAAAAATATTAATAATTGGGTATCATACTCCAAATATTGACTTCAATACAATACAAAGCATTATAGTAAGACTGCATTACCAACCAGGTACACAAGTACTAAAATATGCAATCAAGTGAAATGTGGCGTCTAAATTTAACTGAACAAAATGTAAAACAGAAAAGCTTAAACTTCACATTTAAAAACTCACAGTAAATATTTACACCATTACAATACAAGGTTTTTAAGCAAGACTGCCTTACCAACCGGGGAAATTTTCCACTTTACTGTAAATCAGTTGGTAATTTGATTAATCTGGGGGGAAATTACAGAATTTGTTCAGAAGCTTTACACTGACTAAGTACAAAATTAACAACAACATTGACAGCTAGTCCTGTGTGCCCTGTGAGCTCTGTGTTAAAGACTGTTATTGTTTAACTTTCATTTATGTTTAACCACATTACCACAAGCTAGACTGAAAACACAGAAAAGCAAAGGCTAATGCTTAACTTAATACAAGCTGGTAAGCCACAGGATGTGTAGGGTGTACATTTTGGGTGTAAACAGGCTGACCCAGACATTTGTCACACATCAGATATTTTTTTGTGGTAAACTTATTTTGAATCACTTCAAACCTATAATTTGTCCAGATGTTAGAATTAGATGTACCTCTTTAAAGTAGGTCTACCTTATGATGTCAATTCAAATGTATATTCTATAATAATAATAATATATTTAAAAGACAAGCAGCTTTCTGACCTTCTAAATCTAAACACGTATCCACGTTAGTATTTTGATTTGTTTCCGTCGCCTCTAGATGGAGCAGCTGTACTCGCTGAGCCTCTGCTCCAGAGACGACTGCCGGAGGATCCTCTCCAGGTACCAGTGGAACCTGCAGGGCGCCAGTTGCTACCTGATCCGATTGGCCCGGGACGACAGGTCTGGCCCCGGCGAGAGGGAGCGACCTCTAGTGAGCACAGACAGACGAGTTTAAAGAGATTGTTCTAATGCGTGGATGGTTGACTTTTTCCAGCATCGCCCTGCTTTACAGTGACACACTCCGCTACCTGGAGATCCAACTGTTATCTTCTGCTCTGATATGGGAGCAGCCCAGTGTGTGTGAAAGTAGAAAAATGGATGTATATTCAGAGGGAAAATATTTTGAAGCACAGGAAATTAGCAAATATCTTCCTTACCACTTTAAAAAATATATTTCTAATGAGACACGACAAGGAGATGTTTTTATAGTTTTTGTCGGCTAATAAATTTGTATATATTGTATTACAAATTATTGTTTTATTGAATAAAAGTGCTGATGTGTTTTTCATCTGCCATGTCGCAATGTAAATTATATCCTGGTTTACTGGGAAACTGCACTCGTTGGTGCTTTTTCTTTTCTTTTCTGTGTTTTATAATAATTGTAACTGTTATGTGATTTTCATTTTTATATTAGGTTTATTATTATGCACAAATTCCACGTTTAAATAAAAGGCTGTGTGCAACACTTAGGCACCAGATGCCTTCTTCAAAACAAATATGAAATATTGGTTCTGTTTGATCTGTTTTGATGCTTTTATCTGTGTGTTAAGAGGATGCAAAAACAACCGCTCCACAAGCACATGGCTCAGCACAGAAGAGCCAGCTCCTTGGGACAGGACTCAGCAGTCCACCTGCATCTCAAGGACAAAGAACACTCATTCGAAGACAACAACGTACAGATTTTGGCCAGAGAGGACAGATGGTTTGAGAGAGGGGTGAAAGAAGCCATCTATGTCAAACTGGAAAGACCATCCCTCAACAGAGGTGGAGGTCTGAGGCATCATCTCACACCAGTTTACAATTCAGTCCTAAGTTCTCTCACTAGGATGATTAAACTACATTCACACCTAGCCACAAAAGTCCCTAACAAACCCCATTGTGGCAGGGAGAGCACTAACGACCCATATAACGAGGGGAAGGAGCAACAAAACCCCAATTGAAACCCAAACTCAGATGTTAATGGCTCCTTTAGGATATAAGTATCTGGAACTCTCAACCAGTCAGTCAGAACTGATGAAGCCTCTTGGATGAGAGGTGGAACGTCTTCAAGGAACTCAAACAAGTCAAGTTGCTATGATTAATCTACCAGAATAAACTGGTGGAGCATTTTTTAACATATACCCTTTCTGTGAAGCCCTGCATGCTTCCACTACAGACAGACAGATGTGGACTACAAAGCTGGACCTGTCACCACTTATGAGCACACAATACAGAGTCTAATTAATCAGTTAGTCAGCATGCATCATACAAGGTGCCTGGATTTGTCTCCATTACTATTATTAGCCATCATTGCAGCTATCAGGTCCACCTGTGCTTTTGCTGCTACGATGTGGTAAAATGTCAGCTGTTTAAAGTGATTTAAAATCTATTAAATTAGCTAAATTATAGCCATAACTTGATTTGAATACAGCATCAAAATGAAATCAAAGTTCTCTCTTCAGTGGGAGCTCATGACTGCTGAATCAACCTAGCGAGTCCATTCATATAAGCGATCCTGTTTACTTAACATTTTCATCTTTTATGGTATTAACAAGCGTGCCAGAGCGAACCCAGACATACTGGTGTAAATATTTACACAGCAGCAGCAGCAGCAGCAGCAGCATGCAAAATGTCAGCTGATCTGCTTTTATGACGAGGAACTTCAAATCACAGAATGATTAAGCAAATGACATTTTATAGGAGGACAAATGTATTCTGATTTATTTCCCCAAGTAGCGCTGAGGCATGGATGGACATGTGAAGACATCCTATACATCTACTTCTTACACAGTTCCAGCAGGTGGAGCCGTAAGGTATTGAGTTAATGAGCAAGGAAAGTAATTCTTATCGGTTATCTCTTAAGTAGGGCATGGACATAATGTGTTTGTATATTAACAGATAGGACGGTCAGGCCACTAGTAATGACACCAATAAATTGAGAACCAGCAACTTAAAATGGTACAGAAAGCCTCCAACTAGAGCTGGACTTTGGACTCTTTTGAGCCACAAAATGAGACCTGACTTTCCTCTGAAGTAAGGATAATTTTTTTTCCAAGTGAAACCAGATGCTCCACTGATTTCCCCGGGCCTTCCCCCACATTTTCCTGGACGCTCACTCGAGCAGAAGACAGCACTCTCAACAATGGCATTTGTTTTATTTCTAAAATACATTTATTTGTGGTTTCGGTAGAAATCGAACAATCACGAGTAAAACGATGCAAAACAGTTTTGATAAAAAATAGGAAGCATGCGACCGCCAGCCGCACATGTAATCAATATAAAACGCACATGCGGGTTAATATCAAACTGTTAGTGAACAAATGACTGCTTTAATTGCACTGCACATTGTTTGGCTACTTCCTAATCAGAGGTCAGATTACTGGTCGTTGCATATTATACACAGGCAGTATTTAGTTCCTGACTGTGTAGTAGAGAGGTGCAGTCTGGATTTAAAGGGAAAACCAAACCCCACAGGAGGCACACCCATCGTATCATGACAACATAGAGTGAATACAGAACAGAGAGCTTCAACATTTCAAACCTGTCATTATTAAAACATTCTAAAGAACAGAGCTGGAAAAAAAAGTTCACACTAACTTACTTATCCTTAAACCTTTCACTGGTGGGTTTTTTTTCAGCCACTTTGAAGTCAGCCATACTTAGATTTGTCCTTCTGTCTACTATTAAACTTCATTGCCACTGACCAATATCTGGCGCACGTCTAACACAGTGGTATCTGGAGAAAACTGGAGGGCGAAGTCTGGCTGTGTCCATGGCAAACACAAGAACCACCGAGGGAGCATTTACACAGCGGACGATGCAGCAGTTTTGTTATGTACACTGCAGGGTAAGGGGGGGAGAGAAAAGGCCATGGAGAGCTAGAGAAAGAGCACTTTGGTAAATTACACAGCATGTGTCACAACCTCTTCGTCACCTCACTTTCGCAGCCACAACTTCCTTTCACAAGCAAAAGCAGCCCGTGTACTGCAGCTTGTGTTTCTATAAAGCTTTTTATAAATTATTAAAAAAAACATTTTAAAAAAATCTGCAGTTAGGAGTCTTGTTGGTTAAAGATAAATGTCAGCATGCAAATATATCTACAACATGCAGATGTGTTATTCGTCATGTCAACCATCTTACTTTGGTGTGTTAATTACCACAACATGCGGATGAGACTGAAGGGGATATAATCAGTCTTGTAGGTATTTGGTGATAAGCTGAAGTACTGGAAAGAACTTGTTTAACATAAAAAGTGCATGTCTTTACAATCCGTCAAGACCATAGTGGTGGTCTGACACCGCCATCGGCTAGCTGCTATAATGGAAAAAACCTACAAGGAATATAGTTTGATGATGACAACAACAGTGTTTCACTTATGCTAGATTCACTGCCATTTTCTTCTTAATGCACGAGTGTTGTAATAATAATAGAAAAACAAACAGGATAAAGGTGAAACACCAGTGCAGCATAAAGCACATTCACAAGTATGTGTGTGCTTGCTGGTTTGTATGTGTAGGCCCTGAAGAAGGCATTCAGGGTATTGTTGACTTTCTTTGGCAAGGATTAAGTCTTAGCTGGAGGTATGCTCCTTCATCTAAAAATAGATCAACTGTATGGAGTGTAAATAAAACAAAAAACACCGGCAACTTGGCGGCCAAGTCAACCAAGGTTCCAGAAAATTCAATCAAGCTTTTTTGGGGCCATATTGCTCAATGTGTTTGTATAAACCGATTCTGGGACTGCCACCAAAAAACATGTGGATAAACAAAGCATAAACAATTCATAACAGGAGAAAACTGATGCTGTTCTTTCAACCTTCTTTTTTTTTTTTTCCCTCCGTTATGAAAACACGGTGCTGCGCTGGTTGGCCTCCCCGACCTTCTCGAAGAACATGAAATCCTGCAAAGCAATAACAAGTAAGTCATAATCAGCAGGATCCCACATAATAAAATCAGCGTTGTTTACAGGGATCGGTCACTTACAATAAGGAAGCAGGCTCCCATCAGCACGGCTTTCATCTTCACGTCCAAGTCAAGCGGGAACTGGATGCCGAAGTTGTCCGTGTCGGTGAAGACCTCTTTGAGAAGGCCGCTCCACTGCTTGCTGATGCGACCGATGGCTTTGTCGCTATCTTTCGTCTTCAGCTGGGGAGCAATAACAATGCCAGGGTTCACAACAAGTTATACTGACTCAAGTTCTTTCGGCAAAAAGCTGGTTGACCAAGATGTTGAGGTGTATAAGCACTCAGGTATGAGAGTGGTATTGATGTTGTCATTGAACTCTCCCCCATGAAATAAATAAATGTACTTTTCAACAATAGTAAGTCAAGCAAACAATAACAGGACAATACAGAAAAAAACATCACCAACAAAACATTACAACAGGAAACAAAACGATATCTACAAATCAAAAAAAAAACTTTTTCTACTTCAGACAAGCTCTCATTTTCATACTTCATACACTGATATAAATGCTGCCTTTGTATATTTATGACAAAGCTTAAGATGTTAAACAAATGTAATGCAGTTCCAGAACAGAAATCTAAACAAGGCATAAAGCCGGTTCCAAATTTTGATTTCATTTTGCTGACATAGCAGTGAAAGGAGTTTACCAAGTGGACTGAACAGTCAGAAAAATCCTTTTTCTCTTTGTTTTAGGGATTGAAGTGTTCCATAAATCCAGTTATGAATGATATATGAACTAACTCTGCCGTTAAAATCTTGTAATATATAGACAGAAAAACAACTGGGATGTCAAGTGTATGTATGGTGTTTTTTTGTTTTGTTTTTCTTTTTTGGACAAGAATTTACGCTTTCATCTCAAAACAGATTTCTACAAGGTAATGTCAATTAATAAAAAGCCTATGAAACACAAAATAAATGGCCAGACCACTCACCTAATTCAACACAGGTGCAGCCAGTTGGTGCTAGAATTCATATAATTAGCAAAATAGAAATCATTTGAGTGCAATTAATGTGTCTCAAGTGATCGTAGTATAAAGACACCTGTGTCTGGAAGGTCTAGTCACTGGTCAATCACTGGTACTCTATTGCTACACAATGAAGACAAAGGAAGACTCCAAGCAACTCAGTGAAAAGGTTATAGAAAAGCACAAGGCTGGGGATGGATACACAAAAATGTCCAAATGTCCCTTTGAGTACAGGTAAATGATTTATTAAAAAACAGGCTGAATATGGCACATGCCTAAATCTGCCTACAACAGGCCGTCCTCAACAACTGAGAGAGCCTGTAACTCGTCTGAAGAAGAAACTTCCATGGCTGAGATGGAAGAGACCGTGCATAAAGTGAAAAGGAAGAAGAATCTTACAATCACATCATCACAAACATGCCATCCCCACAGAGAAGCACGGCAGTGGCAGCATCATGATGTGGGGCTGTTTCTCGACTGTTTGACTCTCGAGGGGGTAAATGTTTATGCAGCCACATATTTCAGGTTTTAGATTTTTAATTAAATCACATTGCTTCGTAGACATCTGTTTTCACTTTGACATGAAAAATCCTTTTTATGTAAATTTATGTCAAGAAAGACAAATGATTCAAAGGGAAAACTTCCAAGAGTTATAAAACACAATATTTTTTTTGTATTCCAAGTGTCTTCGTTAACATAAACATACAAAGGAAGTGTTATGTCACTAATTATGAGCTAATTTGCATAAATGTCTACTAGACAAGTGTAGTAAAAAAACACCTATATGTGTATGTTTGAATGTTTTCTTTCCACTGGTCTAAAAGAAGATGCGCTATAGGAGCAAAATATCCCAACATTTTTACATTTTTAAATAAACAAACTGTGTTTTTGTCTGCAGTGTCTCACTTTGAAGCAGGTAACGCGTTATACAATCAGCAATATCTTAGTAGTTGCTATCAGTAAACGCCATAAAGCTCAGTTTCAGATTACGTGATCTGAATGGATATGTAACAAGGCTAATCGGACAACAGTCCCGTTGACCTCACCTCAAAGTTGACGTCCCCACAGCAGTTGCAGGCAAAGCAGGGCCCCTCCAGTTTCATCACGGTCTCCTTGTTTGGTCCCTGGATGGAAAATCGTGGCAGGAAAGGGTGCCAGTCTTGTTTGACGTACCCTACGGTGGTTCCCGGCGGGGCCTGGACCTCCATCTGTAAATCACGCACTTAGTTAGACACACGAGACACGTCTTAGAAAGTGTTTCTTAATAGAGATTAGAATCCACCCTTTATTTCTTGACAGCTATAAATAAAACATCACGGGGCTACACAGCATGTCACATGGGACAGCAGGAATGAGTGACGTGACACTGACTGCTGGATTGTGAAAGCACATAACCAAGGTAATGCGTCTCATATGGCTCCTGTCTGGGCAGTAAACAGAGAACTGCAGTATGTGAAAGCCTTCAGTTCAGGCCAGTGGGAACATACTGTAGACAGACTGCTAATGATGTGAATTAAATAAAAAGGGGAGGGGGGGAGCGAGAGAGAGGTCTCAGTGGAGGGTGACAGAGGATCAGGGAGTCCAGGAGATAGTTTGGACAGACAAAGAGCCATTCATATTGTTAAACAGCTGCCCGAGCAAAGCGGTGCACAAAGACATCGAAACGCTACTTGGCAACAGTGATAGGAGGTGAAGGGACGGAGACATTTAAATGTGAGAGCTGGGAGGCTGCAGGTTTTCATGGTAAGATAAACTAAGAAGCTCAAACTCTTTCACATTCGTCTACCAAGATTCTCAGACATAAACAGCATCTTCCAGTTTTAGGCAACCACAGAAACCAGGCCATGATTCTGCATTTTCAAATGGAATGTAAACCTGCATTTTTCAGTCCTGTGAGCACCACAATAGCATCGGGGTGAGAGCAGACATCTTACAGGCAGATGTTTCAAAAGATAGTCAGATAAAAAATAAACAATAAGATTTTCTTTGAAGCAGAAATCCCACAAATCTCATGGAAAACCAACCACGCTTTTCTTAATATTGTTTATCCATCTGTCTGTTGCTTTCAGACTGAAGGCAACCAGCTCTTTTGAATTCCGTTTTTGAAAATCGGTTAAAAATTACTACTTTTCCAAATGAGAAAAGAACTGGAAAGAAAAGAAACTTGGAGTGTCCAGGCCCTGTTCACACATAGCAAAAATGGTGATATTCCAATGGGCCTTTGGTTTACACGTACACAAGTCACCGAAAACATCATATCATATCTGAAAACCGACCAAAGTGGAGATTTGGAAAAACTCCATCTTTATGTTTGCATGTAGACAGGAGGAGACGGAGTTTGACGTCACGGTATGCGACAAAAGCATCATCAGCGTAAAAAAACTGCTCTGAAGAATCAACCGCTTAACCAAGCAATAGCCTGTTCTTCCCCTTTAGAATCTGTCTGGACAATCAATACAGTTAAATATTAACTGTATCATACTGACACGTGGAGATCAATTATTTAACAGATAGGAGTTTTTATCCATATTTGGAGTACGTGCTCAGGGTGATGGGTCACTGAATGAACTATTGACTCAGCACAACATTGGTTATAGGTGTGGTAAATCAATATCATAAAAGCCTACTTCATTTGACACTCGCTAAGTCATTTAGACTCAAACAAATATTAAATGCAAACCTCTTGAAGGCAACAGGGACACCAGCAGGAAACGCAGCGGAAAGGCCGTACGAGACGGATAACCTCCCTGTCCATGTTGTCCTTGATCTTCATGTCGAAGCTGCGCAGAGAACCGCAGCAGTTCCTGGTGCAGCAGTCATTCTTCTCCTTGGCCTTGTAGATCTTCTGGCCCAGGCTGTTCTTTATCTCATACTGGTTGTTAGTCTCGAAACCGATGAATGCTGGGTGGGGTAGCAAGGAAGACAAATGGTGGAAAAAGTACAGATAAGAAAAGAATTCCAAGGACAGGGGTCATCTGTCATCATGATTCAACTGTTAAGCTTGCAGGAGATGCTGCTGGTTAACTGGGTGAACAGGTAACAGGCTTTACCTTCTAGGAGTTCAACTTTTTGATGGATCAGGATCTGGTCGATCTGAAACCACAGGAGAAAAAGCAGCGTGAGAAAGTGTACAATTATAAACACAAAAGTCAAGAAGAAATCAAGCACATTTCGAATATTTACAATGCAAAACAGCTACCCTCGTGAATTTCCATAAAACCATATAACACTCTGCTGCATAAACGCGTTGCTCTCTGCTTTCTATGAGTACATTTAGTGTTATTTCCTGGAGAGCAAAAGAAACCAAGTTAAAGGACTTCATCTATTCTAAGTTGGGCCTTTAATAGTTGCACCAAGACAACCTGCAGAGTTACTGGTTTAAAAGAGAACAATGTTGAGTGTGATCATTAGAAGTTCAAAAGACAGACAGGACTGAGGTCATGCAACAACTTAACAGGACAAAATTTGAATTTAAACATGACAGGAAGATAAACTGGTCTGACTGGAGTCATCACAAACTAAAGCCCGATTGCTGAGCAAAGCAGATGTTGTTTTAAATTTGATGTCAGCTCTAAAAATGCACAATGACCCCAAACAAACAAGTATATAAAAGGTGAATCAGTAACGACAGCACTTGAATTTTTACTGTGCGTTTCTGGCTACTTCCATGTGACATTTTATTGTACTAAAAGCCATGTGGCAGACGCGCAGGAAGGAACTTGAGAGTGACGAGGCAAACAATGCATTTCAGTGTTCCTCGTTTTTAGGGTGTTACACAATATAAGGATAAACGAAGGAGTCAACACGTCGCTGTCAGTCATGTGTCTGGAGGTCAAACACTCAGTCACGTATTCTTTTCATAAAGGAATGAATGCATGAATTTAGTTTTCCATTCTACAATAAAGACACTTAAACTGGTGGAGAGAGATTTTAAATCACCTCGCTGCACTAACATCTCCTTCACCTTAAGGAGTTGCAGATCAGTTTTTCTTCTTTTACAGTCTTTTCATGATTCTCTACCTGTGTGAGGTACTCGAGCCCCGGCGGGACCCCGACAGCAACCGCGGGTTGACCGCCGACCGGGGCCGGGGAGATCGCTCCTGGACCGCCACCATACTCCTGCCCTTGAACTGGACCCGGGCCCACCTGTCCCGGCTGATACATGACTGGAGCTTGGCCTGCGTTGTAGCCCATGTTAAATCCTGGTGGAGGAGCCTGACTGGGGTCTCCATAACCGCCCTGGGGAACCGGATATGGAGCGACGGAGTGGCCCCCAGGCTGAGGCATGGGATAGGACGCCTGGTTGTAAGGGTCTGGGTAACCTGGGGAAAAGACAGTGACATTTGTTCACCCTTTTCACATTTAAAAAATCATATTTTATAATAGATACAGATCTGTTTTTACACATGCAGGGTTTCTTCACTGTGTAAAGTCAGATAACATTAAAACTACAAACAACATCGCTTCATTTTAACCATAGAAAACATATGAACAACACTGAGGTAACCACTGAAATATTCAGGTAAAAATTTAACAAAATAGTTGCATAAAAACCCAATATAAGCCATAAAAGCATAAAGCTGCTTGTTACGTATCTTATCTCTTACCTTTCAACAAAGTAACGATAAGATAATTCAGAAACACATAATTATGTGATCGGCAGTGGGAGTCGTGAGCTCTGTGTGTCTGGCTGGTAGCAGGTGGTCACAAGAGTGTAAGAATGCATGTAAGTTAACTGTGGATGATCCTGCTTTTCCCTGCTGGGAAGGCAAAACCAGTAAGCTACTTATTTGCTGAGCCACTGCAAATACAAAGCATTTACAGGACAGCTAGTAAAACAACAACAATGGTGGAAAAACTGGACTACAGAATGCAGTTACGCTCCTCGCATTTTCATTTAAAGAAATGTATTCAAAAGAGGTCTAGAACCAAAACAATTACTTGGAATTAGCCTCTATTCAGGAAGGAATTGAACAGCTGCTGATTGTTTTCCAACCAGGATGTGCAAGGTTTTCCAGTTGGCAGTTCAGAGCGGTGCTACTGATTAAAATCCAGTTTCGGTGGGAGCCTGCATATTGTCTTTTATTTTATCATTAGAATAACATGGAATCTTTAGGTTTACCAAATTAAAGACTGATTTTTAAAACTGTCCCTGCTAGTGGCTGCCCTTTTATGGTAATGACAAAAAAATCTGTTTGTCATTCACAAAGAAGAAGTGTGATGAGAGGATATTTGTTCTATCACTCTTAGTACATGTGTATAATAAGCATTCTGTTCTGTGTGGTTTTGGATATATATATATAGTGAGTGATTCTCTCTCTGAAAAACAAATCTTAAAAGTCAAAGTTCGCTCACAGACTACATCAGGTTGTCGTGCAGGATTCCCCTTTACTTTACTACATTCATTTTACCCTCTGCCTTTACAAGCTTTTTGAAACTTGCCGCCGAGAAGCAATCCAACATGGTGATGCCACCGCCGTGCTTCATAGCCAGGAGTACACTCCACCAGTGACTGGACCTTCTGGATACAGGTGTCCCCATACCACAAACACTTCAAACAAATTCACTGATCTCCATTTCACTAATTGTGTGACTTCCAACTGGCTGCAATGTTTGCAGTGTAGCATCACCATAGAAATACCTCCAAGAGACAAGTTAGGTCGTTAAGCCCTTAAGGTGTATATCAAGCAAACACGTCAAAGAGTCTCTGAACTGGGTTAGGAATTGTAGTTTCAAAGAAAATAAGCAATCTAAAGACAGGACTTCATCTATCGAATTAAATCAGATGAATAAAAATAATCTTCAAGAAAAAACCTTAAAATTCTACTTTTCGCCTTTAAAGCACGTAATCGCTTGGCTCTTGAGTTCATGCAGGGTTTTTCTGTCTCAGAATGGGACTTTGGGGGGAGGGGGAGCATGCATGATGGTAAGCAGGCAATAATTCCTCCAAGTGTGACAAACCCGCTTGTCACACTTGGTCACTGACAGCAAACTGGTCAGACCATAACATTGCTGTTTTCCAACTTAGATGCGACAAAAGTGTTTTTGGTGACTTTAGGATCTTTCTGACCACCTGAGAACTGGCATGACTGTGTCTGTGTTAAAGAAGCGAACTGAAAAACACTTCTATGTTCAGTTCCGCTACATCTGTGGTCTGTAAATACGGGCTCCTTTTCTGTGAGTAGGTGTTTTTTCATGTTCTGTGCGCGTCACATCTGTAGTTTATTGTAAATAACTTTGAGTTTAAATGTCCTGCCCTCGTCTGTAACAGAAACATAAGACTCCATAATTGTTGTGTCATTCCTGTCAGGCTACGAGGGATTTGTATGCCACACACTGGTGTCTCACCACTGACCAAACTGGTTTTTTGTTAGCTTTGCAGGAAAGTCCAGCAGTGACCTTATCACATCAGCTCAACTGTCTTAAAGGTCACTGGGCGATTTCGCTGTACAATTCTCGTCGATTAAGTTCATGACTGTCCTGGCAATACAGTCTCATGGATTACAGTTAGAAAGCAAACTGGCCCTTGCGCTACTTTTTGTCATTTGAACAAGAGCCAGTAGTCAAAAAAAAGGAAGTCAGGGCTGAGTTGTGTGAACTCCGAGGCTTGCCTGTGCTCCACCTCTTTCCAAATTCCTTTCTCTGCTTTGCAGGAAATACAACACAAAAAACTGGTATCTGTGTTCACAAAGAGGCACAAGTTAAAAACCCTGACAGGCCCACGCAGCAGGACCTTTCCCCTCCTTAATCTGGTCTTCTCTGTCCAGAGGGAGTAGCGCACTGGAATAAAAACTCAGATATGTTTTCAAGCAAGCATTCACGGAATTCGCTTGAAATTTCACCACCTTTGGGGAGGACACGTTTTTGAAAAGCCACAGGAGGAATCTTGAGGGCAGGACAAGGTGCTCATTCACGATGATCCGTGGGAGGCATGTGATAGGAAATTGGAATGGAAACTTTGAGAAATGAGAACCCGATCATTTCACAACGACTATAAAACATGACATAATGGAAGTAACCGATAGGGAAGAAAGCAACAAAAATCTTCTGCTTTCATTCGCTCACACTCTTAAGCTTTCTAAAGTTCACATGGAAAGGTGAGAGAAAGCCACTCATCTCTGTGCTGCTGCTTTCAGTCACTTACCAGGGGCAGACATGGCGATGAACTTGCAGAAACTTGGCTTGGCACGCTGGAACAGAAGGTCACACTTCCAGGGTCTCTAGGGGAAACGGAAGGCATGAACAAGGGAGGGGGAAGTTTTTGATATAAACCACAAAACCGCGGGATGGGAGGGAGGGAATGGAAGGGTTGCCAGGGGATAGAAAAGGACAATATTAAATAAATGAACCCTAATCTGCCGCACGATGAAGCCTGATGGTCATAAAACAGCGTGTTGATCTTCACACCAGCGATGGGTTAATGAGTTTACAGCCTCGATAGCGCAATCCGGGTTGTGCGTAAAAATGGTTAAAACTTCCATAAGTTAACAAGAGGGTTGCATGGAAATCAGCGTGGGTGTGGCATGCTTGAGCAGAAGCAGAGGGGGGCTGGTCATTAATTTTTTCCACTGGATCCCACTTATCTTTTGCTGTATTTTTCTCACCACCAAAATTCAGCACATGAAGCTGACGCGTAATCAGATGGTGCAAAGCCTTGATCTCTTTGCATGCTTCACCAACATGATCGGCTCCTTCCAATCTGCAATTTATTAAATATATAAACGAGGAAACGACATTGAAATCTTACCTCTCTGATGGTTGCTTTCGAATCGGTTCCAATTAGACGAAGCACCCGGAAAAAAATCAAGTGAATAAAAAAGTGAAAGCGCAGAACCAAGGAGCCGCTTTTTGCTCGTCTTCTTTCCAACCTGTTAAGTCACGATTGCGCTGTTTTCTCTTACTCCTCCCTTCGATCTGTGTTTTTTTTTTTTTTTTCTGACATTCCCCTCCCATGTTCGCGCTCATACGATCTTAATTAGGTTTGCCGCGGAGCCAATCCGAAACAGGTTTATCGTGTGTTGGGCGGATGGTTGACGCGTTATTTTCGATAAGGGCTTTTTTTAATTGTGCCACCAACTTTGTCACAGTCGTGCAAAAGAAGGTTTATGCCATGGAAATGAAAACATTATCATTATCAGTGTTTGCAGCTGCAGGAGGGAGGGGTTTCATTTTTTGGTAAACGTGGTACCAGCACCGACCACCAGAGGGCGCTGATAGCTCAGAAAAGATCCATCCTCAGTCAACACCACACTGTAGAGGAAGAGTTCATTTGCAAAAACAGATATCTCCATTTTTATAGATTTTCAGAAAAAAAATGTGTTGTTTGCTTGAGATAACATAAATCAAACTGAAGTTGAGTGGATTTGACTAAATAGAAATGGCATGACAAAAATAGAGATAACTTAAGTTTGATTGATATTGTCTCAGGTAGACGATGGAAAAGTGGGTTTTCTTTTGTTTTTGCAAATGAGCTCTTCATATGTTTATATAGATCAGAATCAGTTATTGATCTCCAAGAGGAAATTACTTAACCCTCACATATTTTTCCTTCCTCAATTCCTGTCAAGAATTCCCTCATAGTACGTGTCTATACCACATTTTCAACTACAGATCTGTTTAGAATGTCTAAATAGCCTATGTCACATCCATCCATCCATTATCTATACACCGCTTAATCCTCACTAGGGTCATGGGGGGCTGGAGTCTATCCCAGCTGACTTAGGGTGAAGGCAGGGGACACCCTGGACAGGTCACCAGTCTATCACAGGGCCACACTTAGAGACAGACAACCAAGCACACTCACATTCACACCTACGGACAATTTAGAATCACCAATTAACCTCAACATGTTTTTGGACTTGTGGGAGGAAACCGGAGAACTCGGAGAGAACCCGGGAGTACATGCAAACTCCACACAGAAAGATCCCGGGTGTCCTCACCGGGACGCAAGCCGGCAACAGTGCAAACCAACTGCACCACCTTGCAGCCTGTACAACTTCACAGTTTCAAGATTCCCTAAAACCACCATTTTCCTTGAGTTGACCCATCCATTTGACCTGAAACAGCCTAAGTGTTTAAACATTTGTAGTACCTGTACAAAAGTATACAAATTTTAAAACATATTCAATAAAATCTATCATTTTTTGTGTATTCTGGGTCACTTTAGCAGAAGTCAGGCTAAAAGAATGACATTTAGGGTATTTTTTACTGCCATCAAATATCAAAACGGGTCAGAATTGACCCAAAACAACATGTAAAGTTGCAGTTGCTCCCGTTCAAGTCAGAAATACATACAGTACAAAATATATAGGTAGACACAAGTGCAAAATATGAACTGAAATATAAGCATGAGTGGAAGAATATGACCTAAAAATCTAAACATAAGTAGAAAAAATATGTCCCTAAATATATACATGAGTAGACAGTATAAGCGTAATTGTAAAATGTGTATTTCCTGAGAAAACAGGTGTAACATTCCCTGTCATAAGTGATGTGTTATTGCACATAATATGTAGTATTGCACAAAATGATTGCACATTATTGGGTGTTAACTCAAGAACTGAACTGAACTGCGATATTAGTTAACTGTTTGCATTAGATCTTCAGTCCTTTCTCCTTAATCTCTACATCTTTCCCATTTTTTTGGTTGTTTAAGGTTGTTATTTATTCTATGTAGATGACGCCATTCTTTTGTGCACTCTCAGCAAATGACTATGGTCATATGAACTTGCTTTGTCTTGAGGAGGTAAACAATCAGATGCAACAAAAAGTCTTTCAACTACATAAAAACGAGGCTTCACTAATTCTATTTGGCAGCTAAGGAGAAAGACGGGCTCTGTGCTTACTTGAGTCCAGGGCACAATATCACAAACACCTAGGTCAAGGATTTCTGTGTAATCATTGACAGGGCTCTAAATTCCAGTAGCCACGTCAGAGCTGTAACTAAATCCTTTTTCTGGCATTTTAAAAACATTGACAAACTTTGTGTCCAAGCAATATTTCTAAAAACCCATTCATGTTTTTATTTCTTGTAGTATTTCCTGTAATGGCTCCAGGCTCTAGGACCATTAGGTATTCAAAATGCTGCCCTTAGAATACTGACAAACACTTTATTGCAACTTTTAGATCCCTTACACTGGCTTCCAGGTAAATACAGAATTTAATTTAAGGCTTTCCATGTTGGCTATAGATCTCTCAGCTGTCTGTGCCCAAAATAGCTCATGTAGATATGAGTACAAGTCTGGTAGTTCTGTCAGATCTGCATGGACAGGTCAGTTAGTGGTGCCCACATTTCAGAACAGACACGATGAAATGGCATTATGCTGAAACCAACACCAGTTGGAAAGTAAACTTAAGACAGTTCTTTTCTCACTGCTTTTAATTACTAAACGGCCCATACTTTCATTAAACCTGTCTGCACCTTAATGTAATTCTATGTTATTATATATTTTATCTTTTACATATTTTTTTTTAATCTTCTGCCTTTTTCTGCTGTTTTACGCATTCACGTTTAACTAGTTTGTATGCACTTTGTTAAGTGTCTTTGTATTGTTTTTGATTTATTTGACTTTATTTGTTTTATTTCATTCTGCTGTGTTTTGTATTTTATCATTTACATGTTTTAAAAAATCTAACTTTGTCTGTAAAACACTTATATATGCAATTTATATATAAATAGACGTGCTTGCTTTCCAAAACAAAACTATGAGTTAGCTTAAGTACAAGCTAGCCTACCTGAAAACTGCTCTTGATAATGGTAATAGTGATTTGAATAAAGCTAAATACTCCAACTCAATAAAATAAAATGAATGAAACTACACAAATCTAAAATCAGTTGAAAGCCAATTTACTAAGTAAAAGGAAACTTGAATAAATAAACTAATTAGACGATGCCAACATAATTTAACTAGCCTAAATGCTACATTAGCTAACTGACAGGATTAGCTCAAATTAGCCAACTGCTTCCTTTGTACTCTAAGCTAACCTTTGGTAAACCACACAAAACCTGACAAAACTATACTTTAAACAACACAATATGGGACTAAACTAAGATTAATTAATTGTATTTAGAGTTAAATTAAACTGTAAAGTTCAGAAGCTATTGTTGAAATTAGCAGTAATGTAAATGCCCGTGTGAAATGTTGTGAAAGTCGTAAAGTTAAACTAGTAGCGAGTGACTAGCGTAGGCTTTCGTCAAAAGCTGGTGAAGACCGAGACAGAGATAAACAAAAGTTTAACTTACCTTTACCAGAAGATAAATGCAGCTCAACAGAAAACCCGCTGTTGCTCTTTATGTGCTTTTAATGTGTAAGTTCTTCTGCCCCTAGAGGCCAAAAGGACATTAATGCAGCTTCAAATAAACTTCATATGAAAAGAGACATAAATATCATAACACAACTTACAGTGGATGTTGCTGTGTGGTTGTTGTGTACTCCTTTGAAATCTTTTTGTCACAGATTTTGACACAACACAAGCAAAAACACCCTAATGATGTAATGTTTTACATAATCAGTGAAAAATCAGTGCTAATGTTTGTACAAACTTAAATTATGACTGAAATCTACTATAAACATGAAAAGAGTTTTACTAATTAGACCGCAGAATGGCTCGTGTTGGCACTATATTAGTAAATTATGATTATAAAACTGGGTAAACACTGTTTTAATTTGTAAATACCTGATATACTGCTGGGTATGTTTATGTACAACTTTAGAAGAAAAAAAAATATATATACATATACTTTCACTTTACTTTTTACACAGTTTATCACCTGTGACAAGGATCTTATGTGTTCTGTTTTCTTAATTGGTCTTCCCGGTCGTGTTTTTGTGGAACACCCAAAGAGAAACGACTGAACCGACATGTGATTTCGATGCAGATTCGATCTAAGAAATGCTTTGTTTGTGTAATTTTTCTTTCCCGTTAATCTTTTCTAAGGATGTTCACATTTGTGACAGGGATGGTCTCTTGGAGTCTATATTTGGCACCTGCTGCGGCGCCTGATACTTATAGGACACGGGACGGGACAGGGGGCGGGGTGTGTGTAGGAAATTATTTAGTGCAAACACACACACACACACACACACATAGAGAGAGAGCGCGAGAGAGAGAGAGAGAGAGAGAGAGAGAGAGAGAGAGAGAGAGAGACATTAAACCACATATATGAATTATGCCCACACAGACAAAGAGCGATGAAGCTGTGACACCATCAGATTGTCAGACAGACAAATGCCAGAACTATTTCACTTATAAGGGACTTTCAAAGACCATATTAAAGATTTTTTTCTAGGCCCTAAATGTTAATGAAACTCATAACCCTGGACTTAGTTTCACTTTCATCATAAAGCAAACAATCAAACAAAAGTTACAAATTTATAAAATGCACATTATCCTATTAAACGTCACTGGTTGCTCAAGATTGCACTATTTTCTTCTCAAAACTCTTTTTATTTTGATCATATGGGTTGATCACAGTTACTTAGTTCAACTTTTTTTCAATCATGTACCTCAGAAACTGACAAAGGTTTTATATGAAAAAGAAATATGTACTTACAAAAAAGAAATAAAATGCTGTCCAGGTATGAATAGTATAAACACATGCATACATATATATACACATGATCACACATGTTTTATGGAAAATGAGGTATTAAGCCAAATTGGTGCAGAAGTATATGTCAACATAGAAACATGGTCTTCATGGTAAACAACCAAACAAGTGCTGTCATAGTCGTTCTGCAGTTTGCTATAAGATATTTAAAAGTGCAAATTAATGAGCCACAGTATTCAAATGATTAATGGAGGATTAAGTATTGTAACAGGTAAATGAATAAAGAAGAGGCCAGCTTTACTGAGGCATAGTTTGGAACTGTAGTGGTTATAAAGGGGCTGCCACATACGTGGATCC